GTGCTCCAGGTTACACCAGTGCTGGGAAAGGGGAACAGAGACAATGACCTATTGCAAACCTAAGGGCAGCCAAATCTGGCGGGCTGAAGGACGTGGGCATTCCCCCCAACCTGGGCTGGTCAAAATGAGAGGCTGGTCCTGACCCCTGTTTGCCAGTCCTACCAGTAATAAGGCTGAGTGCAAATTCCCAGTAGGTGCATGCGCCCATGCATGTGCACACACTCCATACGGACATGGCCAACCACAAACAGTTCAGCACAGACAGAGGAGTGCTAAGTATCAAAGCTTAGGGCAGTCCCTTTCACAGGGCAGTGTGGCATCTGTCTGTTATCGATCAGACCCATGATCTGCCTGGTATCTGTGCCCCGTCCCCAAGCTTTCATCTCACTTACCAGCTAGTCCAGCTTGACATTTGCTAGAGGACCATGCGCTTACAGGGAATAGAGAGCAAACTTACAGTGTAAGTAGTGTAAGAATACAGAATAGAGTTTAATAAGAAGACAGGACAGACTGAGGTGATCAGGTGCAGGGCTCAACCAGACAAGTGTGCTGACCAGCAGTGTGCTTACAGGCAGCTGGCACCTTTTATCCCCCTCCATTTTCCTCCCTGACCCACATCAACTCTTCCTTTGCTCTTCCTTTGGCCCATCTCGAAGACATCCCATAATAAGTTTGTACACTCCCCAAATTCTCTTGTTTGATCTCAGAATTCCCTCAGGCACCCCATAGTAAATCTCCCCCCCCCCTTTGATGCAATAGTCCCCTTGCTTGCATGGTGTCCCAGAGAGTGTTTCTTCTGTTGAGCCTTTAGCATCGGGGGCAAACGGTGTCACTGTTCACCTCTGGTTCGGAGGGGTTAGGTTGTGTGGGTGCCCACCCTGTCATCTTCCTTCTGATCATTTTTTGGTCTTTGCATCTATTCTGAATAGCCCCAGCCAGAGACCCGTACAGAAACTGCACAGAGCAGTTAAAGAAGACAGGCCCCAGGCTGCAGCATGCAGAAGAGGCAGAGGATTTGCTCTTCTGCCATGAATGAGCAGAAATGGGCAGATGTGTCCCTCCCATCCTGCCGCTGTCAGGAATCCCTCCCGCTGGCTCACTCTGCCCTTCCTCCAGTCCTACCACCATCTTTCCTGGTGGGCTGCTGCTCTCAGAGCTGATGCTGGCTGGCTGCCGGGACACACCGCTGCCTGTTCTCCTTCCAGCCTTTTGCTGGGCTTGCATCGCAGCCTCCTCCCTGGATGAGAGCAAGCAGGGAGCAGAGGTGTGTGGCCAGGCTGTTGGTGGGTGCCCAGCAGCACGCTGTCCGCCCGGAGCACTGCTGCCTCCCTCAGCTGGGGTGCTCTGTACGCTGCCTGCCCTGCCCTGGGGCTGCCCACTGGCAGAAACAAACCACTCAAATCTGCTTCCCGGGAAGTGCAAGTGTGAGAGGGAGCCGGGGCTGGCAGCCGTGGGGATGAAGCAGGGGGATGTCCTGCTTTGCCTCCAGTTTATGTCTTTTCTTTGACCCTCAGGAGTTCATTCTGTCGTGCTTGACCCTCAACCCAGACAAGCGACCAACAGCTAATAACCTGCTCTTCCACCGGGTGCTCTTTGAGGTCCATTCCCTTAAGCTGCTGGCAGCACACTGCTTCATCAACAACCAGTGTGAGTAACCATGAGACCACCCTGCCCCATCTGAGCTTGTATTGCTGCCCCAGCAGAGCTGGGGATGTGGAAGGGCCTGGGGAGAAAGGCAGTGGCCCACAGACCGTCCCGGGGGTCTGTGCTGCAGAGCCCGTGTTACAGGACCTCCCAGCTGACAGTCCCTTTCTGCCTTTGCCCTAGATCTGATGCCAGAGAATGTGGTGGAGGAGAAGATAAAGGAACTGGACCTGAACATGGTGATGGCAGAGATCCGGAGAGAGGGTCGGCCTGGAGCACAGTGGAGGTGAGGATTAGCGGGGAAGATTTCAGAGCAGCCGTAGCCAAAGAGGCCAGGACTTGCATCCAGCCTGGTGACCCTGGTGTTATGGCACAGTAGCCCCTCACACCGTTCTTCTCTCCTGCCTCCCCCAGTAATCTTCCTGTTCTGTTTCTCTCCTAGGTACTCGGAGGTCTCTTTCCTTGAACTCGACAAATTCTTAGAAGACGTCAGGTGGGTTGTGGGCACGTCCCCGTGATCCCTTCACTCACTTCATTCTTTGGGCCTGTGCTCTGCTGAGAAGTTCTCTCCAGAACAGCACCTACATCTGGATTGCCTGTTCCCTGCCCCCTACTAACTCCTGGGTGCTGCTTGGGAGGGTGGCAGCTGATCTGGGCCAGCCATGCCAGGGACCACGCTAAGCCTGTAAAGGAACAGACAACAGAGTTGCAGCACTCCTGGCACTGGTTCAGCTCCAGGAAGAGAAGTAGTCCCGACGGCACACGTGAAAGCGGTGCTGGCTGACCTGTAATGTGTCCACCCAGCTCTGGTCCCCAGCATCTCTCTGCCCTCAGCTCCCCGGGCAGCATGGAACCAGGGTTAGGGCACTGTGCTGCAGCACACGTAGGACGTCCCGTTCGTACAGCGGTACTCGGTCGTGTGTGATCCCCTCTGCAGTCCCCCCCCAGGGCGAGCGGACCTGGGCTGCAGTGCCAGGGCGGGGGGAGCTCTGTGGCCTGCCACCTCCTCACCGTGCTGCCTGCCTGCCAGCGCTGCCCCTCCACAGGTGCAGATCCCTGCTCGGGGCCGTGGCCCTCCACAGCCGACCTCTCCCAGGGCTGTAAGAGGACAGGGCTCAGCTGTTTGTCCTCCCTCTGTGTCTGTACCAGGAATGGGATTTATCCCCTGATGAACTTCGCCGTTTCCAGACCCCACGCCCTCCCACGTGCACTCTCCCAGCCCCAGGAGGACCCTCAGAAAGCCAAGACTCCCACCCCAGAGCCCTTTGATGTGGAGACCAGGAAGGTAAGGTCAGATCCAGTCACGGGCAGGAAGGCCATTGCAAGTGGGTTTATGGACCCCTGACAGGAGTGGAAGGGGTGCCAGGGAGGAAGGGCAGGGCAGGACTGACACAATGCGAGGGTGTCTGAGCAGAAGTGAAGCCTTCCAAAACCGTGGTGTAATCCCTCGCTGAACAGAGTGGTTCAACGCTGCAGCGTAACCCCATCATGGGTATGGGCAGGCAGCCGTTACGTCCCCAAAGCCTTCTCCTCTCCAGGCTGAACAAGCCCTGTTCCCTCAGCCTCTTCTCAGAGGGTAAGCACTCCAGCCCAGGATCGTTTTGATGGCCCTCCATTGCTCCAGTTTATCAATGTCTCTTGTTTTGGGGGCCCAAAATTAGATGCAGTACCTGGATGTAGTTTAACAAGTGCTGAGTAGAGCAGGATAATTATTTCCCTTAATAGCCTGGTTATGCCCCAGGATGCTGTTGGCCTTCCTTGCTGCCAAGGTACACTGCAGCTCATGTCCCGCCTGCTGCCCACCATGACCCCAGAGTCTTTGCAGCAGAGCCAGTAAAGCTTTCCTGCCAGCCAGGCAGTCCCAGCCTGTGTCCTTGCTAGGGATTATTCCTTCCCAAGGGCAGGAGTTGGCATTTGTCCTTTGCTGACATGCTTACGGGGAGACAAGGTTGTTGGCCACCATCATCAGGGCATAGCTCAGGCATGGCACTTCTTACAACGGCTTCTGTCTCCTGAACTGCTGGCCATCACTGAGAGCAGTCAGAGGAACTCATCGGTCTGTGTGCACCTCTCTCTCCTAAAAAACCATTTTGTACCGGGTATTTGCCTGTAATGGCACTTCTAGTCATTCATCATTAATCACCTATGGCACTGTCATTGTGTTACCATGGATGATAAGAATGCAATTTCATACTTGCATTGAATTAATGTTAAAAATGCTCTGTAGGGCTAAACTTAATTCTTATTCCTGCAAGATCACACAAAATGCCTCCCTTCAAAAAGTACATCTGCAGTGGTTTCTTTATATCTGTCTGAGAATCAGCTTTCAGTGCACTTAACTTATGCTTTATTCATACTGCTCAGTGCTTATTTTTAGAGTGCTGTGGTGATCAATCAGATACGTTAGAGAAATGTAAATGTAAACCTGCGCAGTTACGTATTTTCCCCTCTTTGCATTTGTTATATGCTGCTTTTTCACCTAGTGCCCCAAGGTAAGTTCTGCAAGTGCATTGTCTGACCAATGCGTTCAACCAACTACTTTTTACTGAATTTGACAAAGGACTAGTGATCTCAGAGGCACTGAGTTCCTACAGATTTTGCAAAAACTTGCAGCTGGACAAACCTGCAAGTCCCAAATGAGTGTAGCTACAATGCAGACTCTGTCTGTTCTGGGAGGCACCAGAATATGGATGCTGGATGGATCCAAGGAGATGTTTTTCATGGTGAGGATGGTTAAACACTGGACCAGGGGCAAAGATAGGTTATGGGATCTCCTTGGAGGTTTTCAAAACCCGATTGGGTAGGGCTCTAAACAGCCTGGTCTGAATTCACTGTTTGTCTTGAGCAGGGGCTTGGACTAGAGACCTTCCCACCTAAATGATACTTTGATCATGGGCATCGGGTGGAGAGATTTGGGGAGCAGGTGGCAATGATGCACTCAAACATCATCAGCCTTCTCTTTGATTATGTCTGCAAGATGCTGTGCAGTTCAGTGTAATTCAGTATATAAAGGAGCACATGGCCAGACAGTGTGTAAGGAAGGAGCACCCACCCTGGGCATACAGTCACACCTCTTCTTGGAGAAATGGGTGGCCTGGAGACAATAAAGGTCAGAGGACAGCGAGTTTCCTGACTGAAAGAGCTAAATGCCCAGGGATGTTTGTCATAGGGACGAGCTGTAGTAGAGGGATGCTGGGTCGGGGGAAGGAACAAGCACATAACTCACCTCTGAGCATAAGCTTGAAATCGAGGAATATAAATGAAACCCTGTTAAACTCTGCATGGAACAGGGATGTTGATTCCTTGCTGGGTTTCTTGTCTTTTGGGCTGACCAATTGCATGCTCTGTCTGGCTTTCCTTTGCCCAGACAACATGACTTCTGGTGTGAGCCATTTTCATGGGAACTTGAAGCTGACATATTGAAGCTTGAAGCTGACCCAATTCTTTCATAGGAACTTGAAGCTGACATATTAATAAAATGCCATATTTATCTAAGACCTTTGAATGTTCTGTGATGGAATGCAGGGTTTCCTGAAGAAAATCCATATGTCATTTTAATAATATTCAAGATTTCAGTTTTGCTCTTTTGTCTGATTTAAGGATTGGTCATCCCACAAGGACATGAACAAGTACAATATTAAAACGTAACCCAAGAGTTTGGGCAGAGCTTTAGGGGGAAGCCTACCCCTGGCAAATGGAGAAGACGAATTCATCCTGGTTGTAAAGTTTTCCCAGAACTACACCTTTCACAAGGCTCCCTTACCCACTTCTCAATCAGCTGATGATGTCCATGGTTTGTAGCTGGGTACTGGACTAAATTAACCCTCAGCTGCTCCACCTGGACGATTCCTAGAAACGTGGGAAGAAGTGGAAGGACAGGCTGGCAGCTGGAATTAAGGGGCTTAAGAAGGAATTTGAGAGTCATGCTGGGAGAGCAGAAGCAAAGCAGGCCTGGGGAAGCCAGAGGGACTGTGTCCAAGCTGATGTTGATTTTGGCCTCTTCTAGGTGGTGCAAATGCAATGTAACATGGAGCTGAATGAAGACAAGACCCAGTGGCATGTAAGTATTCAGCTCCTATTCTACATGAGGCACTGGGGCAAGACCTGCTCTCTGTACCCATCTCTGGCATCTGACTGGGACAAAGTTTGGTCTCAGCCAGTTTGCTGCAGTACCCAAAGGATTTACTCTTGTCCCTTTATAATAAAAGAAGCCCAAAGAAGAATGAAGCCACCAGTCCCCTCTGGCTGCAGGACAGAAAGACCTTGATATCTTTGGACATTTTTTAACTCTACTTCTCTCTAGTTTAACAGTTGCAGGTTAGCTGTAACTGTTGAGAGAACATTACTCTAAGACACTCAAACTGCTCTGCCAAAGACATCCAGCATCTCAGCAGTTACCAACATCCTCCCTGCTCACCACTGCCAACAGTTTCTAGTACCGATGGAAGAGTCGGCACCTTTCTCTCTTGTGGAGAAACTGGGGTTTGTAAAGAGCACTCTCTTCTTTCTGCAGCTTACTCTTCTGCTGATCCTGGAGGACAAACTGCATCGACAGCTGAGCTATGACTTGCTGCCCAGTAGGTTTACTTGCAAGTAATTTTTTGTGCATGAATACAGAAATATTGCCTGGTGGCCCTGGTCAGATTTAGGCTCAGATTGTGTTAGACATGGATTGTGTTTACAGCCAGCTTTTATTTCCTTCCTGTACTGGAAGAGCAGACTAAACCCTAATATCCATGTGGTACCAGTTCTTGCCCACTCAGACCCTGAGGTTATAGCTCTGGGAGAACTTTGGGAGTCTAGTGAGTGGCCATCAAGAACATGCATTTCACCCTGGGGCATGTGGCATGCAATTTCTGGGGTAACACTAGTGAATTCTTCCCTCATTCCCAACACTGGTGCAGTCTCCGCAGTACCTTTCAAAGGAGAAGGTGGACTCTTCTCTGAGGAAGCCCCAGGGCTCTGGGGAAGGGTGCTTCTCCTCAGAGCAGGTCCAGCACAGCAGGCTCCTTCAACAAAGAGCCTTCTGGAGGCCATGCAGTTGGCATGCCTTGACTGCCTTACAGCCAAAACTGAAGCATAAAGCTTGGAAATTAATGCTTGGGAGTTGCTGCTTCACCAGCTCCTTGTGTTTTTCTGCCTACAGGTAGTGACCTGCCTGCTTTTCATGCTGAGCCAAAACAAAGTGACACATTGCCAAGACTATTGTGCTTTGTGTGTTTTGGGACTGGAGCTCATTCCTGCCCAGTACCGTGTTCAACTCTCATTCACTGCCCACTTCTGTGCTCTGTTTGCCCCAGGATTACTTAGCAATTGCTTAGCCAACCAAAAGTATACAGCTCTCCTAAAGCATAATGAAGCATAATGCAGATGTGCTGCGGGTTGGGATAGGGGCACTGGTAGAGGAGGAACTAAGAGATGTATGAACTTTCATGTTCTCACCATTCCTTGTCTCTGCAGCTGATAACTCCAAGGACTTGGCAACAGAGCTGGTGCATTATGGATTCATCCACGAGGTAAGCCTCCTGCCACTCCTTCTCATCTCAGTCGTGCATGCACTGTGCTACCAAGTGCAGTCCCCAAATCTGTGTGACACCTCATGCCTCAGAGGAGTAAGAGCTCCTCCATTCCCCATCTAGCAGCCAGAGAGCAGTCACAGAGGCCAGCCTGCAGCACTCCCCTTCCAGTGAGTGACAACACATCCTTTTTTTTGTTGTTTTTTTCTTTCTCCATACTTGGCTTATGCCTAACTCCAGGTTGCTGCTTTGAGGGGACAGTCGTATTGCGATGGCAGGGTTAATTACATCAATCTTGTAGTGATTCTGAATGTGAGAACCAGAGGAGTGCCAAGGGAAGGAAGTTGAGGCCACCTCCCATCTCCCAGAGGAATTGTCCCCATAGCTGGTGTTGCCTGGACAGCTGCTTTTAACTCACTCTGCAGATTTCTTCCTGCCAGAAGAGATGGCCAATCCCAGCATCAAAATTCCAGGCTCTCCCTTAGGTGTTTGCAGAGAGTCCTAAGAAATAATTCAGAGCAGCCCAGTCATCCAGACTACTCAGCAGCATAGCCTCCAGGAAAGGCTGCATGGAGAGAATTAAAAATATATTTATTTTTATTTTGTACAAGTTAGGAATTCTGGGGCTGTAGGCAAAGTTTTGGAGAATTCCTCATTCTGGATGCTGACATTAGACAAGGAAGGGGTCAGCTTCACTGAGTGAAAAATTTATGTGAGTACACCTGGAAAAAAGTACACTTAGACTTTCTTCCTTTCTTCATCTGAGCATGGTGACTGCGCAGCTTGGCACTGACATACTGGGGTGCTTTCTCCTGTGCTCTGGAAAATAGGTGGCATTCGGGGCAACCTAACACTGTAGAATATACCTCACACAGGTCCGTGTTCCATGGACTGTAAATTACCTTTCTCTTTCTTTCTCCTAGGAGATAACTTCCTTTTAGCACGTCTTCCCCTCTCTAACGTCTTTTCTACTCCACAGGTACCAACTACCTTTTCTCTCAGATGGTATAACTGATTCATGCCATGTTAAACTCTGAGCAAATGTCCTGAGCCTGTATTTAGCTTGGAAGTATGCTGCTTGTTTCTGACCTGAAGGACTTGGGTACCCAAATGCTCATCCAGTTTTCCAGCTATTGTGGTTGGTCTAACATACCACCTATGCAGTACAAATCTTGTCTTCAAAATCAAAGTTTTTTTCTTAAAAGAAAAGTAGTAATTTAGCAGCAGTAGTGACAAAGGGGTGCCTCTAAGCAACAAGAAAACAACTGATTCTGCATTTTTCACCTGAGGGATAATTTTGAGTTTGTTTCTGGCAATTCCAAAACCCTTCTATGATACAAGGTGGGGGTGTTTTACATCCTCTACGTATCATTGTGTATTTCAGTAATTTCTTTCTTAAGGAATAAACATTCTAATTATGCTATAAACCACCTACTCCTCAATGTGTTAGAAAAGAGATGGCTGTACAAAATAGTTGCTAGACCAACAAAAAGTGACATTAATTTTTATTTTTGTTAGCAGTGACAATATTATAAAACAGATGGCCATAGAAAATAGCTTTAGATCCAGTGGTCAGTTAATTAAGTTGAAATTAAACTAAACAAAAGAAGCTGGACCTGTTTTGTTCCTTCAGATTGGAAGCTCCAAAGAACCATCTGCTCTTTTGCCTTTCTATTGCACCTGACACAAAAAGGTTCCATTCTTGATCGGCCGTTTGGCATTATTCAATAAATACGATAATTATTAGTAGTACGTTCCAGATGTGCTTGCGAGTTGTTCTCTTCCCATATCAAAACTCAGATGTGAAATCGGTGGCTTGGGATGGAATCATGTAAGGAATGAGATATCCAAGGTAGCCAAGCCAAATGAATCTGTCAGCATGTTTTTTCTTTTATTTTAGGATGACTGTGAAAAGCTGGCTAACTTCCTGGAAAATGCCTTCCACAAATACCGGTCTCCTCCCTTGTGAGTCACCTCACGGCAGTCTGGGACAGAGCGGTCCCCCTGTACCGCAGGGGACGGGAAGTGTACCAGACTAGAGGAAACTGCGGGGCTCCTGACCGAACTTCCTTCAGCAGGACTGACCAGGCACTCGCTCCTGAATGAACCTTTGCACTCCATGAGAGGTGTATGCCTGGGCTGTGGTGTGAAAAGACAACGGGAAGTGGAGGAGTAATCAGCAAACACGAGAAATTACATGTGCATCAAGAGAACTCGGAACCAAGCAGGAGTACATGTTCTGGTGCCCACTCCTGAAGCAGCAAGCCAAAGGGAGTTGTGAGGCAGGGGGGAGTGGGGTAACATCCCCTGCAGCCCCTTCCCGATGGTGATTGTGAAGATGAAAGCTGCTGCAAGAATCCCCCAAACTGATAAATTTCCTTCTGGGAATGATAAGCTTTTTTCACTGCAGGTCCCAAAGCTATTTTTTTCCTCTTGCCAGCTGGTAATGTTTGCAGAAGGGAGGAAAGGAGCAGGCTTGGAAAGCTCCGGCGCAGTTTCCAATCTGCCACATTCCACTCTTTATACCCAGTTTCTCCTGTTTTGTTAAGGTTTCCCCACCGCAGATGTGATGCCTTGTAATGAGAATTGCACAATTTGGTGTAAGCTGAAGGGAGGACTTTGTGAGTTGGACTTGATATGGCATAAGAAATTCCAGAAATCCAAACCCACCAGCTGGATCCAAACATGTGGATCAGCAGAAACCTCACTGGTGCTGAACAGAACCCTTGTCATTCCCCAGTTTGTCTGACAGCCTTCCAAAATCTCATGGCATCTTAAGGGGAAAAACCCTGATGTCTCTTCCTTCCCTGTTTCTCCTGTGGTGTTTGGAACTTCAGTCACTAGCCTGGAGAAAGGGGCAATCATCTTAGCTGCTGCGCACATCAGGTTCATTTGGTGAAAAGTGCAAATAGGAATTATTTGTGTCACAAAAGCCATGCAGTGCTGCTCCATGCTGTTCACGTTGTGCCGTGTGGAACCAGCTGTATCATGCTGCGCTGTGCTGGTGTGCTGCGCTGTGCCGGGTCTTCCATGCGGTACTGCCTGCGTTACGCTGCCTGCGCTTTGCAGTGTTGCACCAACTGTATCACGCCGGGCTGGGTTTGCCATGCTAGGATGCTATGCTGAGCTGCCAACTTGTGCTGTATTTCCCAGTTGCGCTATGCTGTGCCGACTTTACAAACTGACAAATCAATAAAGCCACTGAAAGTAGCTTACCTCATCAGAGCACTCCACTCAGCAAACCGCTCACTAATTTCTTAGTCACTCTTACAGTTAAACTAAGAAGATGCGAAATAGCTTCCCTGAGTTCAACAAACTTAGCCACAAAGTCAGGCAAATTGGGTAGAGAAGGAATTTGGTGGAGAAACACCATACAGCTGCTTGATTCAGAAATCACTGTTTCTCCAGAACAAGCTTGCACTTGCCTCTGCAAACTGAGAAATTCCTTCATATACCAACTGCTTCATTTCCCTGATGAGCTAGTCAGCTCTTCTTTAACACATTTCCCCTGAATTCTTTGTTTGATTTAATGCTGTCACAGCTCAGTTTGACCAGTGGATTTCTCTGCTACTGGCTGTGCTGTGTTCAGCGATGATGAGTTCATGAACCAGCTACTGCAGGGTGTTTCCAATACATGACAGGCTGCTCTCACAGAATCACAGAGCAGTTGAGGTTGGACGGGACCACTCGAGATCTCAAGAGGCCCCTTCCAGCCTCTGCGATCACCTAGTCCAACCCCCACTGCTCAAGCAGGGTGAGCTAAAGCAGGGAGCCCGGGACCATGTCCAGTTGGGTCTGCGTATCTCCACAGATGGGGGCTCTCTGGGCACAGCCCATTCCTGTGTTCAACCACCTTCACAGGAAAAAAAAAAAGTGTTTTCCTACGTTCAAATGGAATTTCCCATATTTTCAGTGCCAATTGCCTCTTGTCCTGTCACTGGGCACCACAGAGGTGAGCCTGGCTCCATTTTCTTTACCCTCTCACCAGATATTTGTACACCTTGATGAGGTCCCCCCAAGCCTTCTCCAGGCTGAACAGCCCCAGCTCTCTCAGCCTGTCCTACGACAGATGCTCCAATCCCTTCAGCATCTTGGTGGCCCTTCACTGGACTCGCTCCAGTAAGTCCATGCCTTTCTTGTCCTGGGGAGCCCAGCACTGGATCCAGCGCTCCAGATGTGGCCTCACCAGTGCTGAGCAGAGGAAGGATCAGTCCCCTCAACTGGCTACCAGGTTTTGCCTGGTGCAGCTCAGGATGCTGTTGACTTTGCTGTGAGGGCACATTGCTGGCTCACAGTCAGCTTGCTGTCCGGCAGGACACTTACCCTTCTTTGCAAAACTGGCACCAGCACAAGAATGGAAATCCTGCCCTCACACTTGCAAGTCAGACACAACTCCAAATTTGGCGTGCTGTCATGCAGGAAAGGGGATGTGTCCTCAGACACCGACAGTCAAGTCTGATCAGCTAATTAGGATTGTGATGCCTGCCCATATATTACTAGTTGTGGTATGTACACCTTTTAGTAGAGTATCTAGTCCTTTGCATAATGTAGGAATCCACTATATCTTAATAATGTTTTCCAGTGCTTAACTGCTGTCACTTAAACTTAGGCTAGAAATAAGGCACACTGTTTTATGTTCCGATTCAGATATTGTACCTTTATCTCTCAGATGAAAAGAACTTTCACAATGCAAGACTTTCTCATCATAATGGTAATTAGATGTTAAATTGTCTTTTAACTGCTTTTGATAAGCTTTATTGGCCTGAACTTTCTAAATCTCCTAATAAGATAGGCTTTCAGGATCTGTAAACGTCTTGTAGATTTTCCTGTCTTGCATCTCTTCTGTAGTGGGGCCAAGAGGCCACAACAGTCTCATGCCAGTTTAACTAATTAAGTGCAAGGTGTAACAGCACATCTCTCTGTCCCTCACTAACGGCATTTTCTCTTTAAAGCAGAACCATCACCTTGGGAAATGATGTCTTTGGGGGCCCTTCCTATTTCAGAGTAGCACTTCCACCCCCTGTGATAGAGAGCACCTGTGCCAGGCTGTTTGACCTTGCCTTTGCCTTTCAGTTTGGATGCAAGAGACTGGACCCACCTGGAAAGAACAGAGTAAAAGGGCCAGGCTGGGGACAAATCACCAAGGTGATGTTTCCCTTCAGCGGTCCTCAGCAGGTCCTGGATCTGCTCTCCAGTTGCATACTCAGCAACTACTGACCTCCCACAAGAGGTAACGGGCTGTTAACTGCGGCTGCCCACGTAGCGCCCCAGGACCCGTGGCAGTCAGGGCCCTCTCAGCGCCTCCAGCACGCTGCAGCTCAGCCTCCGCCCGCAGGACGGCTCGGGGCTGCAGCGGCAGCTTC